AGTTTCAGGTGAACTCAGCCTTATAAGCACTGCCTCCACGTGGTGGACAAACAGGTTAGTCACATGCGAAAGAGGGCCACAGTTTGCATATTCAGAAAAATTAAACTGCAAATGGTACTTTGAGAATGTTATTGTAAGAAAGTGTCATAAACTGCAGCAGAAGTATGCATGAGCGATGAATTCAGATTAAGATCTGAACATATAATTGCAGAATATTTTATTTTACTTATATATATATACACACTGTATGTATATATAAATATTCTGTGGTTCTGTCTCAGGTTCTGTGGTTCTGTCTCAGGTTCTGTGGTTCTGTCTCAGGTCTTGTCCAGAGTGTCGGGTCATCTCAGAGTTCGTCATCCCCTCGGTGTTCTGGGTGGAGGATCAGGAAGAGAAGGACCACCTGATTGAGCTCTTCAAGTCCGGTGTCAGGTGAGCTTCCTGTGTAAGCCCCACCCCCCTGCTGTCGGCCAATGAAGTGCGAGTGTTAACAGGAAGTGTTCTTTCTGCAGTAAGAAGGCCTGTAAGTACTTCGATCAGGGCCGCGGCTCCTGTCCCTTTGGAGGGAAGTGTTTGTATCTTCACGCCTTCCCAGACGGAACCCGGGCGGAACCGGACCGGGCCCGGAAGCAGCTGAGCTCTGAGGGAAACGTTCGGGTCAGAACACACCGCTGGTGTCTGGGAGTTGTAGTCCATGTCATGTGGGACTTGTAGTTCTAACGCTGCTTCTCTCTTCAGTTCATGAACAACGTTCGTTTGTGGGATTTCATCCAGGAGCGCGAGCAGCAGGCCACGCCCCTGCCGTCCATGGATGATGACATCACTGAGCTTCGGGAGCTCTTCATGCAGATGTCCGGTCCAGGCCAGGAGGAGGCAGAGGCTCCACCCACTGCAGAGCAGTAGAGAAGTGGGCGGAGCAGAGTCTGCCAGCGGGACGTCCGTGTTAACGCAGATTAAATCCTGCAAACCTCTGCTACTTCCTGTCTGGAAAAAAACTACTTCCTGTCTGAAAACAAACAAAATGTTCATGTGTGACCTCATCATGTGTGACCTCATCATGTGTGATTTAATCATGTATGACCTCATCATGTGTGATTTCATCATGTATGACCTCATCATGTGTGACTTCATGTCCGCAGGTTTGATTTAAAAACAGATTTTATTTATTGTATAAAAGTCGATGTAAAACCTGCATGTTGTGTTGAGTTATTTTCACACCTGACGACAGGAAGTGACCCAGCAGGCTGTCACAGGTACACACCTGACGACAGGAAGTGACCCAGCAGGCTGTCACAGGTACACACCT